AAGGCATGCATATTCAAGTGGCTGAAAAACATATTTGACGTACGACATGTAAATCAAAGATTTGGAAAAATAACTTCATCAAGATAATCAATTTCTTAAGAATAACAATCGGATTCCAATAAGAAATCATATCACAATGGTGGAGACTGCATGATATCCAATAATCGATGGGAACCAAATACCAAATATAATAACTGATAACAAGAAAATACGTATGGCATACGATAGATAATCATAAACAAAGCCAGTAAAAATGTTGTGAAAATAACAAATTATATCATCAACTCATACTGGTAAGGACTTGTACGATATCTGAAAACCATACCGAATGTCAGAAGATCTCAAGGTTGAATCCAACACCGTACTTAGGGTCACCACAGGTTGCCACCCAAGAACTATTCCCTAAGACGATCCGGTGAAGGTCACTAGAACGCACCAGAAACTGTTCTTTCAACCGTTAAGCACTAGAGTCACTGCAGCCTCTCCCAGGTCTGGTCCTTAGTGGCCAGGGTCACCCGCACACAAAAGGAATAATTTCCATGAACTTTTATCCAAATGCCAGAATATATCTCAAGGTTAGATCTAACATCATTCTTAGGGTTACCATGGGTTGACGCCCAGGAACTGTTCTCTAAGACGATCTGATAAAGGTCACCAAGACGCACCAGTCACTGTTCCTTCAACCGTTAAGCACTAGGGTCACCTCAACCTCCCCGGGTCTGTTCCCTAGTGGTCAAAGTCACCCGCACACAAACGAATAATTTCCCTGAACTTTCAATAATAGTCTCATTCACTATCACAAAGTCTCACCATATAAACAAGTGATTGAATCACAATACTTCACAAAAGAATTCATCAAGGTAAGGAGAATCGTATGTCACAAGTATTTAGACACTTAGTAAAATATTTTATAAAGGTAGTAATGAACAAGTATTATGTATCATTTTTAAAATGTTAGGGATACGGAAAAATACGTAGCATGTCAAACCACTCACCTCAAGTCCAAATGATATACTTCTTGAGTGTTGCTTGTTATCCAAAGTAGAGTGAAATGTTATCAATGTCTTTCCTCTTTCTCTCACAATTTCTTTTCTCCTTTAATGAGGTGCTCTTCTTTCCTTCTTCTCTCTTTTTACTCTCTATTCTTTCTTGAAAGTAGAAGCCTATTTGTGTCATTGTATCCTTAATCCAATCCCCAAATACCCTACTTATAGGCATCCTAGAATTATTTTAGAGAATATTAACATGTGACATTTTTAGGGTAAATTTCCTAGAATATTCTACCATCTCCCCTCTCCTAGATCCTTCTAGGTTTTAAGCTTATTTTGCACATGGCAATTCAACAAGCATCTAGATTCATCTATGATATCCTAAAGTCTTTTCCAACCATCTAAGTCCTTCCGAAACATTTTAAATATTTCTAAAATCTTTTAAAATATTCTAAACTTCTCTAAATTGTTCTAGACTATTCTAAATTAGTCTCGAACTTTCTAGAATCTTCTAGACTATTCTAAATTTTTCTAGAAACTTCTCTAATATTCTAGATTATTCTAAATTATTCTAAATTCTTTTTTAAAATTTTTCTTATTCCTTTAAAGATAATATTTCCTAACTAGTTCTTTTTCAAAATAGAACAGGGTAATACAATTACTATCTTTACAAAAATGTTTTACTAAGTGCTTGTGGCATACAATTCTCCTCACCTTGATAAATTCTTTTGTAAAGTATTGTGACTCAATCACTTGTTTATATGGGGAGACTTAGTAATGGTGAATGGGACCAAGACTAAAAGTCCAGGAAAATTATTCCTCTGTGTGTGTCCACTAGGAAACAAACCCAAGAAAGACTGAGGTGACCCTAGTGCTCAACGGTTGAAGGAACAGTTCCTCGTGCATCTGGTGACCTTCACCGAATCGTCTTAGGGAACAGTTCTCAGGCGCCAACCCGTGGTGATCCTAAGTACGGTGTTGGATCCAACCTTGAGATCTTCTGGTATTTGGTATAGTTCCCAGATATCATATAAGTCCTTACCAGTATGAGATGATAATATAATTTGTTATTGTCATGACGTTTTTTTTACTAGTTTTATTTATGATTATCTATCGCTTGCCATATGTATTTTCTTCTTATCAGTTATTTTATATTCAATGTTTTCAAAATGAATATTACTATGTGTGTCTTACCATTCACTGTGCTTTAAGCTCATATTGTTAGATTATGTTTTTCTCCAGGTGAGAGACTAGAGTGTCGCTAGCAGACTCTAGGGACTTTTGTGCACTTGATTGTACCGTGACCTCCATAGGGCATTTTGTGCAACATCTTATGTAGATAAGTATATATGTATACATGTACTTTATCAGTAGACGCTCGGTATGTATGAGCGGTAATCCTCTTTTTGATTTGGTTATGTGGACATGTTAACTTAATAATACAATGATATTTTGTGTTTGTATTTTCTACTAACAGAAATATTGATGATAGGCTTACATGCTCCATGGGATAAACTCCATGGTTCATGGCCGGTCATATCCCTGGAGACAGGGTGTGACATCTCAGGTTTCTCTCCTCCTTCCCTCTCAACCACGTTCTTTCTCTCCATCTCTTGGTAAAGCAACGAACCAGATCTACGACCTAGTGCCAACGAAATTTGATCTTGGCTACCAAACTCAGGCATTATGAAACTCATCTTCTTCACCGATATAATATGTTTGTATAAATACATTCCTATATAGAGATATGGGTGTATAGAGATCTAGGTACCAGTATATCTTGTGCGAATCTCAGGATGTTCATGGTTATTATTGAGATTTATGTAATTTATCGAAGTGGTGTTGGTCATCTAAATTTGCAAATTGAAGAAATTTCTTCAATTAAGCTTCAAATCCTGCAATTGAGCAAGTGGAATGCATAGGACAATTACGGGCTTCAAATTTTTCTTGAATTCGTCACTAATATTTTTGGTTCTCCTTTCCTTGAATGCAAATTTCCTACTGTTCAGTTTTCCCCATTAAGTTTCATGTTTGATAATATTTTTTTCATGTATGCAATTGGTGAGTATTTTGTAATATGCGGTTCTGGAGAGTTGTTATACATACATATATGCATAAATTACATGCACATGCTTATATTAATGTGCATTTTTCTATAGCTGGCTCTTAGATAGACAGCTAATGGTGGCTGTAAGTTTATTGTTTTCCACAATGTTTGATTTAATTTTTGTTTTCATGGAGTTTGTTGAATGGAAGCATCCATAAAATCGATAATGTTAAGGCTCAACATGAATGTGAAGAAGATGGGTATGCTCAAGTAATCATTTGCTTGTTTACCTTACCATATGGAGTGTTGGTCATCTAAAATGATACCTAGCTTTTGTCGGGCGAGTTCTAACTTTTTTTTCCCGTGACAGCAGCAAAAATGACTTTTTGCTATGGTAGTATGGTACAGAAAATTATAATTTAATCAGGTCAAAGTAGAGCTCAAACAGGTCAAGTACGATTTAATAGGACCAATCTAAACTTGGAAGTAATGTTAATATTTGAGGATTGATCTCAATTTGTTTGAACTTCAAGTTATAATTTTTCCAAGTTTTACAGTATAGTACCAAATTTGGTGCCATAATAGTTACTTGTTCGGTTAGCCCAGCAGACAGCCTTGATTTGTTTGCCCAAGATTGCTGACCACACCAATGAGTAATCAATGATTTTTTTTCCGTAATGAGTAACTGGGAAAATTTTTGAGTGAACCCACCAGGAAAAAATTGCTAAAGCTGCCTACTTGTAGAATCTAGAGGAATGAAGAAACTTTGTTTGACATTTATGTAGTTTTCTGATTCCAATGCTGTTGTGATTACATTAGTATTTCTCTATTAACTAGGGATAATCCGTGTCTAAAGACACGGTGCAATATGAATGATTTTGAGAGGAATGTTGGTGGACATTGGATGAGTCTATTTGAGACAATCAGATAGGCTTATTGAAGCATGTCCTATTTTATATTATAGATCTGTTTTGGTATTAGCTTTGTCTAAAACTGATCTCAAGCTAGCCTTAGAATTTTTTTCACGATATTTACATTGTTTTTTTACATGCTTGGAGAATTGACGCAATAAAGCCCATTTTTCACTCTATAGTCTTGAGTAACTATCTTTTTGGACCGCACCAACCTGACAAAAGGGCAAAAGTAACCTGACAAGAGAAACTATCTTTTTGCAGTCTTTTTGGACTGCATCCACGTTTTTCTTTGATTGTTTGATTGTGAAATTCTAACTCTATAAAGTATTGGTTTAAGGAGCAGGTTGGTTTTCTGCTGAATTTTTTTCTTTGAAACATGACAGTTATGGCTCATCTAAGTTTAGCAAAAAGGTAAATGGTAAGGAAGAAGAAATTGATGTTTGTTGAGTTCAAGTATGTTTTCCCATGAAAAAGGTTATGTGGTTATTCATGAGTGCTTTGATTTTGTAATTTTCCAAAGAAGTATGTTACCCACGTTAAGTTAGAAATTCTTTATGATAGAAAAATATTTATTTTGGTCAGATTCCATTCCACTAAAATTTATTTTATCGACTTTCACAAAAAAAAAAAAAAAAAATTATTTTATCCAAATGTAGGAATGGAATGTGCTAGGATTTAATCCCAAATAAATACCAAACATTGGAATGGTAACGCACATTCCATTTCATTCTCAAGCTCATTTCTTTCCTATGTTCATTCCATTATTGCCTAAAAGCATTACCACATACCAAACGCAGTGTTACGGTTAAGAGACATTGATCCAGTGTTATGGTTAAGAGACATTGATCCAGTGTTATGGTGGGCAGTCTAACAAACTCAGATTCACATGCTTGGCAGCCCAAGCTATTACCATTTAAAAAAAACTCTCAGCCCGAATAATAGGCAGAAAGAAAGGGGAAAAACTGTGTAAACATGATAAAAAGAAAATCAAGAAAAATCAAAACCAAAAACAAACAAACAGAAATCCTAAATTTCAGGGACCGTAATCAACTAGGACAAAGGATCACAGCTTGCAGCTAACACATTTTCAAGCACAAGCATCACAACTAATTCAATTGCACTGACATGGGAAAGCACAGACAAAATTTGCATTCATCTTATTAAATTGTGAATTAGACTGTCTTGCTATGTATATAGATAAAGAAATAAAATATACCACTAAAAATGCATACCATAGGTACAAGAACACCTTTGTTGACATTAGGGAATGTTGGATCCTTTTCCTTAAGCTGGGCAACAATCATATCATTAAGATCAAGCATTTTCAATCCAAGCCAAGGTCGAACAACTCTCCTGCACAAGTTAATATCCATCAGATTTTAATAACATTTAAAATTTGAATTCAACCCAAGGTTAAAATTTTCTGAGCATACAATCAATTGTTATCACATGTATTGTGAAATGCAAATTGCTCCCTCAATGCAATTACAATACAACCTTATGTTTGTCACACAAAACAAACTTAGCGCAACAACACTTACAAAAAGAAACAGCAATTCTAAATGATATTTGAGCATGATTCACGAGCTAAACTTGTTGGCAAGCGGACTGCCAACATTTGTTTCCAGACTGGGATTGGTTTCAAATGCCATTTGCCCTCTTGTCAGGTCATCAAATTTCGAGTGCTCATTCTCCTGGCACAAGGTCATACTTAACTTAGGGCCTTGAGCCAAGGAGATACAATAAAACAATTGGCACAGAATATGGTACTTGAAAAACATAGAAGGCATTGCCATCACCTATTGCAAATTGCTGCTGCCATAAGTAATATAAAATGGAGGTTACAAAGAAAAACCTGATGGGCTCAGATGGAATACACATCAAGATCTCAAAGCAAAATATTGGATATCGTGCCCAAAAAATATTAATAATTTATACTTAAAAAGAGTGTCAAATTCCAACAGCCTCAAACAGCATCCCATAGTTAATCATCACAGCCATCTGTTTTTGTTTTGAGACAAGACACGATAAAAAAGAATGCAACTCCATGAGCAATTGCACCTACATCAGTTATGAAGCAGTAGATGAAAGTGCACATCAGTAACAGAGACAACATTGAAAGATGATAGCTTCACTCAACATGCTATAATTCCTAAATAAAGTGTTAGAAGGGACAACCAAAAAGGACTCAACCTCACGACCTCTTTTACTTTTAATAATCAATCCCAAAAATTAACAGTGAATTTCACTAGTTTCAAAGAGCCAAAAAGCAAAGTAGGGAATTCAAACACATGCTACATTCAGTACTTGGGCAATGATGTTTAATACTAGGATTAGGCTTGGGAAAAAAACAATCACGGCCTGATTTAAATTCGGACAGTCCATAGATTGGATTGGACTGTGGGGTTGCCCAACCCAAAACGGATTAGATAAAATCGAAACTCGAGGATAGAGAATATATATATATATATAAAGTACTACAAATTTCGAATCCCCAAATTTATCTCAACTTATATTGAACCAATGACACCTCAAATTTATCCAAATTTGTCTAAATTTCATCCAATTGATGAAATTTTCTTCTAAAATTCTCCTTGCCCAAATCACACAATGCAATCAGCCCTATTGACCCAATCACGTACCAGCCCTAACATCTCAATTCTCTCTCCTTTCTCTCTTCTCTCTCACCATAGACATTCTCTGCCAACGCCCCTCTCTCTCTTCTCTCCCTGCACTCTCCTCCATCCCTCTTTCACAAACACAAACCATAGTTTTCCCTCTGTCCAACTCTTTCTCACCCTTCTCTCTGTCTCTCTATCGTTCTTCTCTCCGAGAATCCCAAAATGTCCCAAAATCTACCCCCAACAGAGACCAGTGTCGACAATAGTATAGTGCCTTCAACAAGGACAGTGACCAGTGCCTCTCTCGCATCCACCCTCTTGTGCCAGCCAGCGCCGCCTTCCCTTTTCTCCATGTCTCTCTCTCTTTCTTTACACTCTGTAAAGACACAGCCTCACTCATAGCCACACATCTGTAACTAACACAAATTCACGCTCCCCCCCCCCCAAGTCACACATGGAGTCACAAACTTGCACACAACCACTACCTCCACCCCCTTCGTCAATCTCCTTGAAGATCACAAATTGCATGTGCTTTGTTCGCTGCATTTTCTAATACCGTGCACTTTCTCACACTCTACAGTGCAAAGGTATATGGTTTATTTTTTAATACCCTGTTTCAATGAATCTTGACTAAATTTCTGGCTTCAAATGTAAGTGTTGGTTCTCTATTTACTATTGCTTAATCAAAAGGAAATTTATATGTACTGTTGCATAAATGAAAATTCTTGTAGTGATTTGTCTAATGGCTTAGAAAAGGTTGGCGAAAAAAAAAGAACATTGTTTACATGACATAATTGTAGAGGCTAACAGTAAAAGAAATGCAACATGAATTGGAATATTTCTCACGGTTTAGATTAATGAGACATGATTGGTCATTTGGGTATGAACATTATTGATGTTCTCATTGTTAGAGTATTAGGGATAGTTTAATCATTTATTTTATTTTGTGTTGTCCTACTATATAAGGGTCTTAGTTCTATATCTTATGTTAAGTTGTAACAAACTAGTTGAACCATAATAATATTATCTTGTTCGTTCTTCTCTTTTTTGCTATTCTTTCTGTTATGTAATCAAAGTGAAAATGGTATCAAAGCATGTTCCGATCTTAAATATGTTTAGAAACCCATCAGTGTTCGTCACAGAAACAATCTGTGTTCAGCTAAGGCTGACTTCATCAATAGAGTTCATAACGTCCAGATGACATCATCAACGAGCAATGATTGCACCCACCATTCTGTTCGGTTTTCCATGGGCTTCAACATGGTATAGTTCATTTTTCTTTCCATGATCATTTAATAGGGTTTTCAAATTTCTGAATGTTTTTCAAAAAGTTTTCACCGAAAAAATTTCAATTTGGTTTTCTAGACTTCTCTTCGAATTTGTTGGTGCAAATCCCACCTAAAGGGTGTGATGTGTCTTCCATACTTAACTGGATGATTCTAAGCAATTGGGTTGATTTGTGTAGACTTTTGGTTGATTTTCTGGTTTGGCTAATCTGAATTTTGCACCAGTGCCCTGTTTTTTGAGTATTTTTGGGTCAGTTCTGGCTTACTGTGTTGCTGCTAATTCTGCACACTATTGACCTACTGTTCACAAATCTACACTGTGTTGCTACTGATTGTGTGCACTATTGAACTACTATTTACAAATCTGCAAGTCTTCTATTGCTCTGCCACCTTCTTTGCCTGATTTACTTTTTACCATGCCCATACCCTGTAGCATGGCGATGGTAGCCACATTCATTTTGACTACTTTATTTATTAATTTATCATATTTTATCGTATTCATTTGTTCATCACTGTTTGTTGCCAGGTCTTCTGGATGTGCACACTGTTCATTGCAGTGCATCACTGTTGGAAAATCTATGCACTATTGAGTTGTTGTTCACAACCTCCAAGTCTTCTGGTGTTACTACAAGTATTCTAGGGTTGTCTGCATCACTGTTCATTGCTAAATCTTCTAGAGTTGTACACTTTTCGTTGTTGTACATCACTGTTTAAAAAAAAGATTGATTTGGCTTGGATACTTGCTGGATTTTGATTGAGCTTTGCTGATTTTGTGCTGAATTTGAGCTGCCAACAAGTATTTATGATATTTTTGTGTTGAGCTTGTTGTTTGTCCTGGATTTGGACTACCAATAATTATTTGGACACTTTTCATTTAGAATATAGCAAACAGCAATTTTGGTTCTCTTCAAGCCACTTTTGAGACATCAACTCCTAGTTAGACTACAATCAAGGATCAAAATATCGTTTCGAAACGGTTGAAATATCCGAAACGTTTTTGTTTTCAAAGAGATCAAAATGAATCAGTGATGGAATCAAAATTCTAATACTTCGAGTTGTTCCATAATGTTTTAAAATATTTTGTTATATTTCAATGCATTTGCACAATTATTTTGGAATGTTTCAAGGTATTTTAAGATATTTTGATATATTTCGACCAATATTTTGAATAATAATTCTTAAATTTTATTATTTTTCATTATATTTTTGAAATGGATCGAAACGTTTCCGAAACATGTCAAAACATTTCTATTTTTTAGGTGACTGAAACAATGCACCAAAACGAAATTTTGATCCTCGACTACGATTGATAATCAATTGCAAAAGACTTTCTCACTCCGACAACCTAATGATCTCTCAGTCTCCTATTATGTAAGTTTGTTCACTTCAAGCCCTTCAAGTATACCTTGAATTGCTTGGATTTTTGACTCCGATGCTACACAGCATATGACCGTTGACTCTTCTTTGTTTGCATCTACTTTCTCTCACCCATCTGTATCTATACTTGCAACAAATGGTACTCAAGTGTACTTGGATGGTGTCGGAGCAATTATTTCTCCTCACCTTACACTTTCAAATGCCTATTATATCCCTTAGGTTACTTTGAATTTGATTTCAGCCGGTCCGCTATTAGATTCTGGATTTTCAATTCAATTTTTTTCTTCTAGTTATGTTGTGCAGGATCCACATTCCAAAAAACTGATTAGAATACGCTATAGAAAGAAAGGACTATATGTATTGAACAAGCTACATGTTCCAAATATTGCAACTTCGATTGTTGATTTGTCATCTTCTCATTTGAGTCCACAGATTCGATATTTCTTAGGAATTGAGGTTACTTTTTCTTCCAAAGGTTATCTGTTTTCTCAATTTAAGTATGCATAAGATGTTATTCAGCGAGCTCGTTTATCAGATCATCAAACAATTGAGACACCCTTAGAGCTTTATGTTCATTATTCTTCCTCAAATGATACTCTCCTACTCATTACAGTACTACTATTGGAAGTCTGGTATATCTTACAGTTGCTCGCCTAAATATCTCTTATGTTGCTCGCCTAAATATCTCTTATGTTGTTCATATTCTTAGTCAGTTTGTTGACTCACCTACCCATGTTCACTAGGTTGTTATTCTCTAAATCCTTTGATATCTTCAAGGTACTCTACATCAGAGTTTATTATTTTCTTCTACCTTTTCTATGAAATTCATGTCTTTACTCAAATGTTGAGTGGGCTTGTGACTGAATGGATCACAAGTTCACTACTGATTTTTATGTTTTTCTTGATAATTTTCTTATATCTTAGAAAAGCAAGAAATAAACTGTTGAAGCTCGTTCTTCCACCAAAGCTAAGTACCATGCTATAGCATCTACCACAATTGAGAATCTGGTAACGATGGTTGCATGCTTATCTTGGCATCTTAGCATCTCTTTATCTGTTCCTACCCTTATGTATCGTGACAACACCAGTACTATTCAGATTGCTCACAATTTAGTCTTTCACGAGCGTACCAAGAATATTAAAATTGATTGCCACTTTGTATGCCATCATCTTCAACTGGGCACTATACTCTCCCATTTCTTTCTTCTACTATGCAGTTAGCGAATTTCTTTATGAAATCTCACACCATAGCGCACTTCCGTTTTCTACTTGACAAACTCTTGATGTTCTTTACTACCACATCATGAGTTTGAAGGGTGGTTAGAATATTTTAGCATATTAGTATTGAGGGTAGATTAGTCATTTACTTTATTTTGTGTTGTCCTACAACATAAGAGCCTTTATTCTATACCTTAGGTTAAGTTGTAACAAACTAGTTGAGCCATAATAATATTCTCTCTTTTCGTTCTTCTCTTTCTTGCTTTTCTTTCTGTTATGGAATCAAAGTTAACACTCATATGCCCACCAAGTCTTTGATGTTATTGGCAGCAAAGAATTTGCAATGATCTATATTATGCTTTTTGACAAGAAAATTATGAATAGGTTACTGCCAATATGATTTTCTGCATGTTCTGTTGTTATTTTGATAAAATTTATGTGTAATAACATTACGTTGTGTTCATCAAGAAGGCAGGTTTTCTTCAGAATATGGAAGAGCTGCTCCTAAAATGGCAGAAGCAGCACTCACAAAGCATTATCTGTTATCATATCTACAATATGGCTGTCTTTATGTTTAAATGCTCTTAGTTTTAAGCTATCTCAAACATGTTATCACAGCTGGATAATTATTGACTGTGTGAGGTCCCAAAACCTATTTCTGCATTATTTTCAGTATTTGTGTCTGAGATGTCCACACATTGCAGGTCTTATACCTGTTTAGAAAAAAGAGCTTTGATCAATTCTTTCTACATTTAAGTGAGTTAATTATCATAGTCATCATTTATGTTTTTTTTATTGTGCTTTTTAGTGCTATTGCTTAAGTTCATTATTTATAAGGTATTAAGGTGAAACATGAGACCTTATTTTCCAGTTTTGATCACAGCCAGTGCGCCGGTAAGTTGAAGGAAAATTAATTACCCGTTTTGTTATTTCTTTCATTTTGCAATTAGGTTTGTGAAATTTGGATTTGGGTACCTTCAGATTTAATTAGGAATTACATGTTGTCTGTGGTTTCATGCGGTGTCCTAGAGTACCACATTGAGAGGCAATTACTCGTATTCTGCGATATCTCAAACATGCTCCTGGATTTTGACTGTCATATCGAGCTAATGAACATCTTCGAGTGGAAGGTTTCTCAGATGTTGATTGGGCTGGTTCTCCTTCTGATCGGAAATCAACCACTGGTTATTGTACTTTCTTAGGAGGTAACGTTGTCTCATGGAAAAGTAAGAAACAATCCGTGGTAGCAGGATCCAGTGCTGAGGCTGCGTATAGGGCAATGGCACATACGACGAGTGAGTTGACTTTGCTACTACACTTCCTCCAGAAAATTGAATTTCCAGTTCAACCTCCTTTAGAGTTGTTCTGTGACAACCAGGTAACTATCCATATCACTGCCAATTATGTTAATTCTACTGGACGTTAGCTCACCCTATACGGGAAATATTTCAGGTGCAGGGTGCGCACCAGCAGAGGACTCTTATTCGGGGCCTCAAGGGTGAAGAGGGGCCGACATGTGGCCTTTAACCATATGACTGTTTTATAAATTTTTGTTCAAACTATGTTTGGCATGTAATATATGTAAAAGAATTGTAACCTTAAACTTTTATTAACTATGTTAATGCATAACTTATGATGTGGGAGTATGGATAAATGGACCCGATGTGGTCAACGTGGTATGTTGGACCTTGAATGGGTCATATGATTGTATGGTATACAGGTTGTATCTTGGGTGGAGCTCTTCGTACAAAGGAGACTCCGCCCAATTTTGTTAAATTATGGATCCCAGTAAATGGGACAAAACGGTATGGTATCGAGTTATATGATCTCTACAGGTATTCTGCAGGTTGATAGGTGCAGTGTTTTGAAAAGCTCGCCTAGGCAAGAAGCGAGGCGAGGCGAGCTTATCTCGCCTGGAGGACCTCAGGCGAAGCAAACGTGAGCGAAGCGAGAAAAAAACGAGAAAAAGCGAAGAAGCGAAAAAGCGAACGCTTTATTATAAAAGCGATTATGCTTCACTTTTTTTTTTTTTTTCTGATTACAGGTTAGTAGTCTCTTTTATTTTTTAATCACTAATGACTTTTTTTTTAGACTATTGCTGGTCTATTTTTTTTTTTTCTAATAAACAATGTTTCAAACAAAACACATTCTTTTTTTTTTCTTGTGTTGCTGAATTCATTTAGAATATTTGTAGGATGTGAGAGTCAGGCGACTGCATGACAATTATGATAAAAAAAGGAAGCAGGAGTATCAGGAATAGGGGTAAATAATAGATTCTTCTACAAAGAAGTGTCTCTGATATGTCTTGGTTATACTTTTCCCTTCTCTTATATATATACAAATGGTACCAAAAAGTGGTCTATGCTTATACCATGTTTAATTATTTTAGTACATGTGAAATGTGTCTCTGTTCTGCTTTTTTTTATTCAGTATATAATTACATATGAAATTGTTTACAATTGATTCTGCTCCTATCATGATCATTGTGCTTCTGTTTTTTTTTTAGCTCATTCTGCTTCTATTTTTTTTTGTTGATTATGTTGCTGCTTCGATTTTGCTGTCCTGTGTTGCTTTTGTTTTTTTTTATCCTCATTCTGCTTCTTCTTTTTTTGTTGCTAATTCTGCTGCTGTCCTGATTCTGCTTCTTTTGTTGTCCTACCCTGTCAATATGAAAATGTATACAATTGTTAGTATTTATTTGAATTTAAATGTTTAAGTTATGACTGTTATTAAGATTTGATATATTATTAGTGTTTGTTTTAATTTAAATGTTTATGGTTTTACTTGCATTTAAATATTTAGTATATATAAAATTAGAACTTAGATTGTTTAGAAGTAATTAAACTAAAATATATATTTTTTTTAACTATTCGCTTTGCTTCGGTAAAGCGTGTCGCTTCGCTTCTCGCTTCTCGCCTAGGCGTTAGGAGCCTTGGTCGCTTCGGTTCGCTTTACACCTTAAATAACACTGGATAGGTGATCAACAGGACCCCCAATTTTTGGGGTGTCACAATTGCTTTGGCTTAGAGTAAATTTTGCCGACATTTTTGGTAATTGCTAGAGTTAATTGTTCATGTCCTTTGTCCATGGAAATTAGGATGAACTCAATTGAAACTGAACTGTTGCTCGTATTCTGCAACCCGAGTCCAATCTTAATGTATAGATATAATCACATGTTGAGCTAGGGTTGAAGATCCTCAAGTTGAAGATCGCGTTGGTTTGGGCTCGGGATGAGAATTTCATTTCTGGAGTTGAGCTTAGGCTCACACCCTTACCCCCCCCCCCCGAGCTGCGCCCCTTCAACCAGATGTATCATTACGTATACAAATAATGATTTCTATATTCATATTCTCACTTATTCAAATCTATGAATGTGAGCTAGCATGTTTATGCGTGCATTGCGTTGGCAATCAAATTTTGTCATCTCTAGTTCATTTTGTATCACTATAGCTATTTCAATAAATGGGTCAACCCAAGACAATATGATTAAATTATTGTATCGAAACCCCTAACCCCAACATGACCAACTTATTACCCAAGAAACCCCACAAACTCGACCCAACCCGACTCAATCGGTCATATTCTTAGATGAAAAAGTGCAAGTAAAATCAAGATATAATTGAACAAAAGAGTTGAACAGATTCCACGAGTTATATTTATGTCAATATCCTAAATATGTCAAACAAGTTTATAATATCACTCGAACACGAAAAATTTAAAGAGGAGGCAAATTATGTCAACCCTTTATGATACAACTCCAAGTAGCCTCAACCTAAACCCGCTAATTTCATGTAAAGTTCGAGCCATGCTATCGTGTAGTATCGAAACTTATCATTCCTACATACGTATATTCACTAATAAAGGCATTGAAGTGTATGTGAGCACAAAAAACTCATGTAGTTCACTGAAAAGTTAATGCATTTTATGCAATTAAACCTTGGGAGTAAGTAGATGCATGCAAGTTGTAGTAGATACCCATTAGTTTTGAAGTGCTCTATAATTTTGGAAACAGAGTCAATTGGTACTGAAAACCCCAAACCATCAGCAGCCAATACTTTCATAATATTAACACCAACAACTTCTCCATCGACATTAACAAGGGGTCCACCAGAATTACCCTACACAAAAAGAAAAACAAGAGTAGTCACAACAAATGCTCATTTATTAGCAATACAACAAACTTCGTCCATCAATAATCACAAGCACCAATAACTTCAAACCACAAATGGCAAGCACCAAAATAAAGTTTGAAAACAAACACATAACATTGCATCAAAAACAGTAGCCCATGACTTACAGAAGTATGGTCATAAATGGAGGTAGGAAAAAGACAAACCTTGCTACATTAAACCCAGTCCAGCCCAACAGGTCAACCCATAACAAAAAACTGGTGACCCAATCATTTTTGTAATCCAGTGGGTACCAAACCGTTAAAATTGGATGGGTTTTCAAGAACCCGTTAAAACTGGTTGACATCAAATCCGATGGGTCAATAATTTCACATAAAAGAGGCATTTTGCACAATTTTGCCCTAAATAATTGAATCTCTTCTCACATCTCAGTCACAAAAGTTCACCTTCACGGGCGATCGGCCATCTTCTCCACTCTCCAAGCCTCTTTCTCTCTCTCTCTCAATGTGATTACAAGTTGTTGTCATGCAACGATTTCATTCAAGACAAGTCTCTCTCTCTTTGTTTACATCGACTTCTTGTAGTGCTCTAGCTCAATCTGTTTCAATATCTTCTTTTGGGTTTCAATATAAATGCTTTTCATTTTCTAATTATTAGGGAAATAGATAAGGAAATAAATTGCAATTGTAATTGGTAGAATGTTTTGTATTCATGTGTATATGGCATATTTCATTGTGGGCTTCACTGGTCAGTGGAAGATTTCATTTTTTGAAGCCATTATCACATGCAAAATTCTAAGATTTTTTTTTTAAGATAGTATTCTACTAAGCTTAGGTGAGGTTTAATTTGGAAAAAAAATGTTGAACTGCTTGCGTTGATTTTTAGTCTCTGTTATAAATATCATATTTTTGACATAATTATTTTTTTATTGCATGACCGGTTCGACAAATGAACCAGGTCAATGAGTCATTGGTTCAACTATTGGGTTAATTTTTTTTTTTATTTTTTTTTTACTTTCAAAAAATTTGTAAAACCTGATAAATTTAAACTTTTGTAAACAAGGGCAAAACGGTAATTTTGCCGCTACAATACTGGTTGAAAACCTAAAATTTTCTAGATCTCGGATGACGAAACGGACCTCACCGTTGGATTCGTCTCGCAAAATCTAGTTACCATGTCAAATTTCATCAAATTCCGAAATAATCGAATTTTTTACGTTTTACGAGACTGTCGAGTCTCGGGTAGCTCAAAAACGGAATTTTCAATAAAATTTTAAAAGTTAAAAAATAATTAAAGGCAAATTAAAATAAAATGAACTTGAACTTGAACTTGAACCGAGACGAAATTTAATCGTTTCGGGATGAAAACGAACCCAAAAACAAAAAGGGTCGTGTGGAGCGTTGTGGGCCAAATATTCTAAAACTATAACTAGGGAAAAATCTGACTTTTTTGGCCCATTTTTTTTTATCAACCGGTTAGCCGATAGAGAAGAGAGGGAAAAGAAAGGATTTCTTCACCTTCTCTCTACGATCTACGACTCCACGGGCTTCGGATTCACTCGGGCCAAGAGGAAAAGTTGCTCTCCTCGCCAAGGACTATGCGACTATACCAAAAACAACGGATTTCACCAAAAGTTAAAAAACGAGATTTTGGAGAAGTGAGGATTCAAGATTGTTTAGGGTTCTTGGAACTTCCCAACGTCTTTTTATGCTTCAAGAGGTAAGGGGTTCTCCTACTTTAGTTCATTTTTCACTTATAGTGTTATATAAAACGTGTGGGTTAAAGGAAATATGTATTTCACTCACTTATACATATGACAGGGGTGAAATGGGTATGAAAAAGAAGTATGTAAATGGGTTGGAATAGATTTTCCTAACTTGAAATTATGATGTGGTAATTACTTGATTGGTAATTCCATAAAAAAGTGATTTTATGGGCATGTTTTATGTTTAAATATTATGTCTTGTGAATGATGTGAGAAATGTTGTGACTTGATGGTATTTTGCATAGAATGCCGAATTGAAACCTAAGTTGTTATAGCATGGATTATGTGTGACAAGCTTGTGAATTGTTGATATTGGTGATTATATGCATGTGATATAAATTACCTTGACACATGTTGAGATGTGTGGGTTAAGTTGGCTCATTGGTATTCATTACATTGAGCATGACGTTGGTAGTGTAATGGTCCATTACATTGCATATGCACGGATAACACATCGCATTTCATGGGTGTGAGTGCATGGTTTGGGTCAAACATCATCCTCGGTGGATGACAAGTGAGCTCGGTACCGTTGAACCAAGGTTCAAAAGAGTTCCACGGTTGCATAGAAAAGAAAATTTGTGTCGGATATAACAAGAAGGGCTAGACACGTACTCAGGTGCAAGGCTTGGCTACTGGTTCATATACTCCGTCGGTGCAAGTCCAAAAAGTGTAAAAAGGCGTACGGAGCCGACAGTGAGATTTCAAAATCTGTTACCCAACAAAGACACAAACTTTTGTTTTATAAAAATATTTATTCAATGGGTAACATCCACAATGATTTGGTTTTACAAATGCATCACTTTTTATTTTAAACAATCATTAGATGCATTTTTCGTCAATTGACGGATTCATCACACATGCACATTGCATTGTGTAGTGGGAGTCGGTGAAGGCTCGGGGTTAAATTACATGAGTGGGTTTCATCTCATATCATGGTATGATATGTTGATTCCAACATTGATTTGCATAAATATTAGTTGGAATGATTGTTGTTGAAAAATGTTGTATATGAACATTGCATATGCACTTAGGTTGGGGAGTATCCTCTATAGGAAATATTCTACGAGACGTTGGCTCACCCTATACGGGAACACATTTCAAGTGCGGGGTTGATACCAGTGGAGGACTCACATTCGGGGCCCCAAAGATGAAGAAAAGCCAGTTTGTGGCTTTTGGAAACAAGTTTTGTAAAAACTTTTGTTTAAAACCCTTTTGGCATGTAAATGTATAGAATGGGTTGTATTAGATGTTGTATATATTAGATTGTATGTAAAAAGCATGATTTAGTATGTTTTGAATGAAAAATGTAGGTTTTGGAATGGGTTAAAATCGACAACAGGTGAATTGGGCAAACTGGATAAAGTGTACCGGTACTACGTACCGGAACAGTCTGTCCATAAAGAAAAGCGTACCGCTACTGTCTTTCCAGAAGGCAAACTATACCGGTACTGTCTCCTAAAATCTAAAAGTTTTAAATTATTTTGCCATATTTTTGGGCTTTGTTTCCTTGGTTCCAATGATATAAATAGACATTAAATAAGGTATATTGGACCTTGGTCGGATTAAATTATTAAAGGAACAAGGGCAATACGTGTGAGTTAAAATTTGAGGTAATGGAATAATAACAGCGTGATGTCGGATCAAGCGACACTCACGGGCAATTCCGCGGGTTGACGGGTGGTCAACGGGTTAAATAATGACTCCCAATTTTAGGGGCGTCACAAAATTTAACCCAACACTTGAACCAATAACTCATTGACCCAGTTTGTTTGTCGAGCTGATATCCGAGTGAGGTTTAATCACTATGCTTCTACATTATTTGATCTAGAGCAATAATCACAAATGCTATCAATGATTAATTTGAGACTGGCATAAATAATCTATAGATCATAAGTTGTACTTCTTTGAATATATGTCCAGTCCACTAAATAGAAAGATCCCAAGCAGGCAGGTGCGCCCCCATCACCCTTTCCCCCCTATTCTTCTTACACCAAAAAAAACAACAAAAAAATTTAAGGAGAAAAAGAAGACGCAGAGAAAATTAACATTACCGCATTAATTGCACAATCTGTTTGCAAGTACTCTCTCCGCATTCCTCCAAGGCCCAAATCGCTGCTTTTTCGATCAACACAACTACAAGCAAAAAGGACAAACAAATGGGGAAATGGATCTAATGGATGACTTTCATTCATTGGTATGTTGTGTTGTGATCGACATGAATGGTTAAGAACTCTTTACAGCTAGGGTTTCATCTTCAAAAACCATACATAGAGATATAATGACAAAAGGTGACCTATCAGATGATTGGTAAAAGGAAAAGCAATCTTTTGTCACATGCTATCAGTCATGATACCTTACTATACCAGCTGTAATCGTATTTTGAAGGGAAAGGGGGCAGCCCACAGCCACTACCCAATCCCCAGGACGAAGCTTACTTGACAAGCCAAGTTTTGCTGTCGGAAGTGGAGTTTTAGATCTGATCCTCACAATAGCAATATCAGAATGTAAATCAGCATTCACAACTGTACCCTCAAACAATCGACCATCTTGCAAAGTCACGTCAACCTGCAACAGTTAATCCTTTAGGCTCATACATATATGTCCTACAGATATTTTTTTCTGAATAACAAAAGGGTTTCAAATATGGTAAAGCTGTTTTAGCCAAGTGGTGCAGCATGGAACCGAAAAATGAAGGGTTGGGAAGGGGTCTACGGTTTGAATCTTAATGTAGGCCAACGTGAACATAAACAGTGGTATCTCATAGGTTCCAAGTGAACATGAAGATAAAGGGACTACTGTGAAACTGTAGGTCATTTCTAGAGTAAATATGGAAGGCATCATAATTTGGTGAATATGTGAAGTTTTCAACCAGACCCAATCTTAACATGAGTGACCACTCATGTCACTAAATTTTGCACTTTACTTCAACAATACGGATGCACACACACAAGCATAATTCCATGCAAGGCACAACCAATAACATAAAGCTCCCTATTTCATAAGAAGTCTACAGGTGATAACATGATATTAATCAGATGAATAGTGCCTTCACAAAGATTCACAAAATAATTCATAATACATCACATCATTAAGGACAGCATGCAAAAACCAAATTGTATCCTAGGAATGAAATTCCACATATCACACGTGTGTACATGGATATATACCTCTTTTATATGTAGCTAACATCAAGATGTACCACATCTTTTCCAATTTAACATCTTACTGTGCCGTCTACTCTAGAAAATTGATGATATATCACCATTGAATGTTAACATTGAGGACACCAAAAGCAAACTTGCATAATATCAGTGGGACCATTGCCAATTGTCAGATAACAAAATTAAAAAGTTTTAATCTCTGACCTTGCCTTTGGATGAAGAACTCAAACCTTGAAAATCAACCACCACATGAGCACAAGTCAATATAGTACCATCTGAATCTATGATAGTTCCAGAGCCTACACTTTTTCCTACTGTTAGCCCGTGAAAACCTACCAAAAAAAAAAAAAAAAGGTCTGATCGAACAAACACCTCAAAAACTGCAAATTAATACTCTCAAATGCATACCCTGTGGAACAGATAGATTGACAACAGCAGGACCAACCCTAGCAGCCGCATTTGCAATAGTGTCTCGACCCAAACAATTACAACAGTGTTTTGGGCTGTCGCCAACCTCTGCTGAAAGTCCTTTCTTTACATCCGCTGATGGGGCTGACTCAGGTCTAGAAAAAAACAATGGACACAGTCCTGCAATTACATAGCATTAATTGAACAAAAGAACAAGAAAATATGCATATACTAAGAGTACATCGAAATTTCAATATATAAAAGAGCAAAAATGATACAAACCATGTAGTGAAGGATCCAAGGAAAAATATGAAGGACGAAGAATCATCTCTTGAATAGTTCTCCATGGCCACCTTGAATACTCGCGCAGTGGTGCCGGAGCTAAGACCGATACTGATGTTTCTACAACTCAGTCCATTGTCATAAAATTAGTTCATTTGGTATCCAAATGATACATTTTTGGTTTATTTAACCTTTTTTCCCTCAATATTTTCCTCATTGCAAACCCAAAGAAGAAGGAAATAATTGAGCCAATTAACAGCTATTTGGTTCATAATTTTCAATTTTTTCTCTCCGAAAGCACAGCAGCAAGAGTCGGGAGGCTGGACGCTAAATTTATTTTAAAATTTGCCGCCATTTTCACATCAACCAATCAATGGATAAAAAAAAATATTTAAAATGGTTTCAATAAATGGGATTGAATTCTTACCGGAATTTGCGCCAATGGTTGAATATATGAGTCCCGACCCGGCAGCAGCCAAAGCAACTAGACGGATGAGAGGGCTTTTGTGGTAAATTGGTAGCCTTCCATGAAAATGTCTCATGACTAAAGGGAGAAAAAGGTATGCCAAAGCTTCTTTTTGCTGTCTGTGTTGCTACCAACGCAAAACCCACTGCTTCGACTTCTACTTCTACCGTTCGAGCGACTAGGAGGGGGCAAATAGTGGGCTGGTAATGAAATTGTGGTTGGACTTACGTGGGGGAAGAAGGCAGCAGAAATATTCTTTACAATCGTGGTACAACGAGACAATATGGTAATATGATATATCACCAATTTATAGTATTAAAATAAATAAATAAATGAATCCCATAAAAAATAATAATTAACCTGTCGTATAACTAAATAACTCCTCATTTTTTTTCACGTAAGTTTAAGTGGAGTTCATTTTGTCCACTTAAAATTTTATTATTAATCGATAATATTATGTTATTAATGTTGATATAATATCACGGTTGGATTGAATATTTACTCTACATATAGGGACAGCCTTCAATAAAAACAGTATTGCTATTCTTGCCAAATTAGGGTTAATTATACTGAGATCCCTAAAGTATGGGGTTTATCTCATTTTAGTCCATAATATTTTTAATTATATAATTTTAGTCTCTAAAGTATTGAATATATTTATATATAATCTTTCAAACAGACAGCATTTAGATTGCTAACAATTTTTAATTATAAACTTGTCATATAATACTTACATATTAAAAAATAATAATTTGAATAATTTTTTACTAAATTTTTTACTAAAATTTTGGTCAAAGAGCTACCTAAATCACACGATTTTGATCATAAACTATCCAAATTTCAATAAAGGGCTACACATATTACAATTTTTTGTCAAAAACTACGCAAATAATTTTTTACTAATATTTAGGTATCACGTGATAAGTTTATGATAAAAAATTATTAACAATTTAGATGTTGTCTGCTTGAGGGACTACATAAAAATATATTAAATATTTTAGGGACAAAAATGCTGTAATTAAAATATTTGAGATTAAAATGAGATAAATTATATATAATTTGAAAATCTTCAGTGCAATTAACCCACCTAATTATTTGCCAAATTTTATATATGAAATCAGTATAGGTCATTGAATTAGTAAGTTTCACCCACTCCTAACTTAATCCGAAATGTGTACACCCCAGTGCAGGCAGTCAAGTTGTAGTAATAATCCAGTTAAGTCTAGAGTCGAATCCATAGGGACCTATGATTAGTGTATGTGGTGCTCGTTTATTCATTTAAGTAATATTTTTAAATAAACTTGACATCCTTTTTAAATGTCACTGCTTTATTTCAAATTATGTATCTATGTTATGTTAAAATTGAGACCGACCATTTTAAATACTTTTCTAAACCTTGTATGGGTTTGAGAGAATTTTTCTACAAAGCTTCGTGCTCACCTCCCTATCGCTAACATTTTTCAGATTACCCGCTTGAGGAGGAGGACGTAAGGGTCGAAGAGCCCGCTACTTGGGAGACTCCACTGGATGGGAGTGTGGATCCCGAGATGGACGCATAGAGCAACCTCCTTTCCTTTTGTACTAGACTAGGACATTCTTTTGGAACATTGTGTAGTCTAGCTTCTTTTGTTTATTCTGCTGCACTTCTTTAATTAATTTTTGAGATGTAATAGCCATGACTCGGGATTATTCTTTTCGATAATGTTGTAAATATTCGTGGATGACAAATGCAATCTTGTTTCTTAAGGGATTATATTAGTGCTCTCATGATATGAATAATTTTAGAATGTAATGTCGTCCAGGGTGTATTTTGCGGTGTTACAATCCTCCCCTCCTAAAGGTTCTCCCAAGGGGAGTATTTAAAGGCAATGAGGAAAAAGGGGGGGAGACAGGGGAGTGTGAAGGAATAGTGTATGCTGCCCAAGCCCAAGTGAAGAGCCAACCACTTTGTAGCCTGCCTATGAAGAACGTTCGAACGTGAGTTAGCGTTCGAACATTGCCTCTGTTTTTCCTTTATGTGCATTCGAACGTTGTATGACGTTCGAACGTATCTTTTGTCTTTACTTTATGAGTGTTCGAACGCCAGATGGGGTCTGATTTTCTCACTCAAGTGGGTTGTGGTCTTTTGTGAAAATCTATTTTCCACACTCCATGCACATCTTGGCGCTTTGCATTCATTAGTCTGGTCTTCAATCACTCAAGTGGACGTTCAAATGTGAGTTAGCGTTTGAACGTGGTACTCAAGTACCTCAGAGTCTTCCTTCTTGGTTGCAACACGGCTTGTCTTCAGCAGTCTGGTTTTCAATCACTCAAGTGGATGTTCGAATGTGAGTTGGCATTCAAATGTCATTGGCTTGGTCCAAGCTTTTCCAATTTTTCTCCAGAATATGTTGGTGTTGCATGAAAGTTTGATACTCATTGTCTTTAGTCCCTTGTACAATTTATGGCCTAAAATGTCATCATTTAAGCTCTATCAAAATATAATTAATCTTAAAAGAGCATAGTAATATGCTAATTGTAACTACTAATCACACCCCTCAACCTAAAAATTGCTAGCCTCTAGTAATACAATAAAAATGGAATGTAAATCTATTTCTAATGCCTTTTTTATAGGTCATCCGGTTGCATTTAGCATATGCAACAAGCCAGTGAACCACTAGGTTTACCCTAATGGACGATTGTTGTCTCGAGAGGGTTTTAAATGAAGCTATCCATAAACTTTAGTCGAACAGATGTGTATGTGGGATTGTTGGTTAAAGTAAATTAGCATCATGGTCGTTGAGACACCCAACTCTCAATTTTGACTTACATCCCCGCATGCTCCTCGTTAGTATGTATTTATTCTATGCAAAAATTAGCATTAGTTACATTGATATTTGGAATTCCCTATGTAGTAGGAATGGTCATTCTAGAAACAAGAATTGATACATAACAAACATTTCACTTTACCACCTTTCATGGTTAGCTTTGATTTTATAAACCTCTCTTAGAAATGCCCTCAGCAAAAATTCGCTCAGGTTATAGTGACTTGTCTCTCAAAGGGCATGTGATCAGAAGATGACCAGTAAGAATCACATGCACAGTTAGAAAGGGAGTGAAATTTTTAAGAAAGTAGACCAATTATGTTCTTGACATAATCTCATGAAAGAATATTAATGCAGTTAAAGAAATACTATTAAACATATCCCAATTTTCGATTGATAACACACACATGCATCAGACTTGAAATCAATTAGGGATTTGTAAGGGTTATAATGTGGCCAGAGGTCAGTGGCTAATGAAATGACGTCAACGGTATTCAAAAAGCTATCATTTCCTTATGTAGTGTAGCACATCTCTCTCTTGTTTTTTGATCTTTTGCCAAGAAGTTGTATTTCTTTATTTCATTTTTCTCATTTTTTGCTTTCTTGGCAATTCTCTATCTATTTGTTTCTTTTCTTTTTCGGTTGTTTCCACCGATTTTTCTTTCATTGAACAGTAGCCACCATCTTCTTTTCTATCTTTCTTGCCTTTCTGTATTATACTAATTCATAAGAGGGTGCAAGAAAATTAGATAGCAAGGTATGTTAAGTGTGTTCTCTTGTGGCTCGATTATCATATGGGTTTTTCGAAAAAGAAATCATTCATTGAAGGCTCAAGCATGACTGACTAGGGATATTCTTTTAAAAGAAATGGCTAAGACTCAAAGTTAAATCAAAGATGACCTAAGATCTTTTCTCAAGTATGTGCATATGTCTGTGTTGTATGAACAATTATGTCAATAGAGTGCTTTAGTTGTATCAATCAAAGCAAATGTAATGAGATTATTCAAAGATAGATAGTGAAAGACCTTTCTCGAGTAAATGTTGATATCCCTCAAAAAGCATCGAAGGCTCAAACTTACCATGATATTCTTTGTCATCTCCACTGCTTATGTCGGGTGTGTCAAGGAATGTTGGTTATATAGTGATTCCATTTTTCGAGTCTGATCATCTTGTACCTTAAGAATAACAAATACTAATATACATTTGACAATTTAAACACAGAGATAATACCCATTTTCCAAGAAATGCGATTTTAAGTCTCGGTTGTTAAGTTGAGGTGTCAAACCGATTATGTGCTTAGTCATTTTAACAAGCAACCTTAGAATGCACATCCATTTCATCATTCATTATTAATTACTAAAGTGCTAATTCTACCTATGCATTTAAACAGATAAAAGTGATAAATTGAATCCTTCATTTCACACAATATGATCATTTACAATAATACCAAAGATTCAATCCATCCATACAAGAATTGACCAAAACACAAAAACTTCAAGTATCCTCAATCAGTGACCCAAAAAGAAACAAACATCCACCACAGAAGAAACAAATATCCACAATAACTACAAGTATCCCCAAGAAGCTACCAAAGAAGAATCACATCCAAATAAGAAACAAAGACCACAACTACACTCAAGAACAAAAATCAATCTCCTCCACCAAGTCCACCAGCTCCATCCCTCAGTAGGCGAAGGATCTCATATTGCTTAACTTCAATGCTAAGCATGATGTCTCATAAAGAACGTTGGGTACTCGTGCTAGGGCCTGTCTCCTGTGTCTGTGCCTGCTCTCTCTCCACCTCTAAATCTCTCTCCTCCTCTCGGTCGAGCTCATCCTGCACCTTATCCACTCCTTAGGTGTGTGGCACCTCTTGTCTAGCTACTGGGGTGCCACTATGACCTTGGCTCCTTCTAAAGGATGCCTTGTTTAGTGGCCCCATTGGCTTTTGGATTTCCATTTCAGGCCTTACCTTAACCCCGTGGTCTTTACATATGTCAGTCACTAGGGTGCCAAAGGGAAAAGAGTTTCTTTTCACGTCACAACCTTTCTTCATTTCTATTAAGATGAGGGAGGGAAGATCAATGCTTTGGTCCTTACCAAGTGCATAGAGTAGACGGGCCATGTTGGGTAAAATTTCATTTTTTTCATCCTATTGGGGTAAGGTTAGACACCGTAATCAAATTTAGCATTTTATACTTGTCCATGAGCTCCCCTTGTCTAAAAAATCTCTTCCCCAACCATGAAAAACTAGTCACCCCAGTCAACTCCG